CTGAATAACTCTCTGTGAAGTGGTTTTTGTTTTTAAGCCAGCTTTGATTTAGAAACTGCCATTATCCCATGCAGTTTACATCACTAGAAATTCCAAAGCTTCCTGTAAATTCCTGTTCACTCCCCTCCTGCCTAAAAACCAGTCAAAGAAAATTAAATTAGCCAGCCCAATGACCACTATCTACTTCCCATATAAAAGTTTGTTTCATTCGATCTGGTGCCATGACCTGTACTTCCCTCGCCGCCTCCTTTTGGTATCTTTCACCAATACAGGATGTAGGTACACGGGAATATAGTGACACCGCGCAACAGTAAATTGAGGCTCTCTGGGAGTCCAGCACGTGGACAGTTACTCACAAAACACCATTTCTTGGTTTGTATCAGCTCTCTGGTTTTTCTGGCATGACTATCCCTATTGAAATACATACTGATACTATTGGTTATTTGATCCATTGCACTTTATTTTTGACCTATGTACTTGGAATCTGAATAATCCCACCCTATACATCATTCTTTCGGACCAGGAAAAACAGGTTTTTAATACTAACAGTAACTTCTAATAGCAGTATTCCATCTCTAGCCTGCTTGGGTGAGGAAGCCTTTGAAAGGTGTGTAAACTACTTTGAGATTGTTTCTCTTGATGCATTTGAGTAGTAACTAAGTGTGAGAAAACTGTCCCCCACTTCCTCGCTCCTACGACGGTAATGACTTCAGTTTTGAAGACAGAAAGCTTCGAAGACTGATGGACTCTTCCCTGACGTTTCACATGGGGATGGCTCACAGGCTGAGTGCATAGTAGTTCAGCTCATCTGAACACAAAGATAACACATTTGTGCTTATCTAAGTAAAAGAAAAAAAAAGCATTAAAAAATAATAGTTTAGGAAGAAGCATGTGCCTGCCCAGTGTCACGACATGCTGAGCAAAGAGAGCCACGCACAGGCATGCCTTCCCCTGCTTCGAGGAGAAAGCATGGGGGGATTGGGCACAGTTATCGTGAGGAGAAAAACAGTGTGCTATGGAAGAGAGAGACAGAATGGCTCATTTCTTGTGGCCAGAAGCGTATCTGATGAAGAGAAAGCGGTGAAGAGGAGCAGGCTGAAGCAGGTGACCTGACTGCCACTCAGTGACACGGTGATGTCTGGGCCTGGGCTGCTGCAGGGTCCATGCCTAGATCCATGGCCCCGATGCAGCCATGATCTGTGTTAATGTCCGATGCTTTTGATACCACGGAAGGCTGAGAGGATTGGGCTATACAGAGTTGGCCCCGTCCCTCAATGGCTGCAGCACCACGGAAAACTGGTCCAACCCGTTACCGGCTGCATCACTCAGGAGAGAGTGCCCTACACCTCACCTGGGCAGCACCTTAGAACTAACTCACCCTGTTCTCAGGGGCAGGGCGGGCAAACCCTAAGGGCACGGGAATGGGAAAGCAGGTCATGCCCCTCTCGTCTCCCACGTGGCGGTATGAATGAGAGGAAAGGTGCTCTCCTTCCTTTACCTCCCGACAGACACCTGCAGCTGGTTGGGGGCCAGACCTAACCCCTCACTCGCTGCAGCACTCGGGAGAATGGGCCCTGCACTGCACAGCTGACCCAGTAGACAGGGATGTGGGTGGGCCAGCCCCGAAGTTGTGAGCTGTCCCCATGACTTACCCTGTCAAATGCTGGCTCACACAGCCCCCCCCCCACCAATGCCTGGGGCAGGTGGGAGAGCTGTTCACATTACTCATCTGTCATGGGTTAGGGCAGGGACAATCCCCACCCACCCACTTGCCTCAGTGGGAGAGCTGCCCTGAGGTCAGAAGAGCTGGAGAGCTGTCCCTGCCCCTTATCAGCTGCAGCACTCAGGAGAATGGCCCCCACACCTCTACTGGGCTGCACAGTAGAGGTGGCCCTGAAGGTGCAGGTGTGGAGAACTGCCCCTGAGGATGTAAAAGCTGTAAAAGCCTGAGGCCTGACTGCATCCCTTGCTCATCCCTGCAAGGGATAAAGCAGCCAAGGCAAAGCTGGAGAACTCACCCTGGTGGTGAAGTCAGGCTGACCAACCCTGCACTACACAGGTCCAGAACCAGGGTTAAGTGTTGGCCAACCCTAACATCCACCCAACTGTAATCTGCCGGAGCACGGGTTGGGGCTGTATGGTCCTGTGAACTCAGGGCTACAGGATGTTCATGACACAGGGCAGAAACGGGATGTCCAGGAAGATTCCCAGTGAGGGTCCAGAGTAGATGGTGCAGGAGAGAGCCTGGGCCTTGAACCAGGCCAGTGATTCTTTTCGATTAACACCTGTATGTAAGCAGCTATGGATCCTTAGTGACTCTGTCAAACTACAGCTCCCATGAGATTTTCTCTTTCTTTTTTTCTTAAATTTTATTTTGTTTTTTGGGGGGTTTACAGAGGCAGAGGGAGGATTCAAGAGGCCAGGAGATGGGTGGGATCAGGATGCATGATGTGAAAGACACACAGATAAATTTTAAAAATGTTTTAACAGTTTAATTCTTTGAGAACTTTATACAGTGTAGTTTCATTATAGTCACCTCCAGCTCCTCATAGATCCACCCCCACATCCCTAATCACTCAACTGCTTGCTTTTGTTTTCCTTTGAAGACTATCAAGTCTAATTCATTTGCCCAAATAATTCTGGGGATGGGGCCTCCTCCTGGACTGTGACTGACCTGCTAAATCACCACGCTTAAGATTGTATCCTCTCCTAGAAGCTAGCAGTTGCGAGAGAGAGAGAGAGAGAGAGAGAGAGAGAGAGAGAGAGAGAGGGAGGGAGGGAGGGAGGGAGGGAGAGGTGTGTGTGTGTGTGTGTGTGTGTGTGTGTGTGTGTGAATAATATTTAATGAGGCCTTACACCAGTATCTGCCAATGGTATATGATGTTATGTAAGGAAAAACTAGAAGTTTGACAGCCCAGAAATGCTGGCTTCATTACTTTGTTCTTTTTCACATGTTGCAATGTACTAAAGGTGGCAAATGCCCAGTTAATCAGATTATCAGCTAAACATGTAGCACAAAGGGACTTAAGCAGAGTCTACAAAACACTAACGATGCCAACAAACAAACAAACCTGACAGATTATCCTAATTAAGCTCCTTGTGATCTACAAAAGTTAATAATTAAAATACCAAATGAAATGCGAGGAGGTCAGATGGAGACAATTACAAATTATCTAAAACCTACCTGAGAGGTAGGTAGCTCAGCATCTTACTCTAAAACAAACCTTAGTTTCCCTTTAACTTGCCCCTCGTGTTTTCAGCCTACATAATACAAATAGATGTAATATATAACTTAACAAACAGCAAGCTAGAACTGTTCCTGATTGAAGCGGTTGGGCTTTAAATAGCCATCCGGGAGCCAGGCGAATTCACCCTTGCTGTCTGAATTAGCGCCGAATCTGGAGCAGGCCAAGTCCCATCACTCACTTGCTACCAATGATGAAGCAGAATTTGCTCCAAGCTAGAGCCTCATCTGACCTTTACACTACTAGCCAGTGCCAGACATCTTTTTGTTTAAGTAAATAATATAGTTTACTGCCCTCTTACATCAATAAGTAAAAAAAAATAAAGTATGTGGTAGTTAATAGTGAAGTTATACATCTTTTTAAATGTTTCTGTAAGCCTTATATACTGGCTGTTTGAGTTTGCTTCTCTGTTGCTGTGGTAAACGCTGTAACCAAAAGCAACGTGAGGAAGGAAAAGGTTTTTTAGCTTACACTTACAGCCCTTCTCCAAGGGAAGCCAAGGCAGGAACTCAAAACAGAATCCTGAAAGCTGGAACTGAAGCAGAGGTCATGGACCAGTGATGTTTACTGGCTTTCTCCTCTGGCTTGTTCAGTTACCCTTCTTTTTTTTTATTTTACATATCGATCCCAGTTCCTTCTACCTCTCTCCATTCTACCACCCCCCCCCCACACACACACACACACACACTCCACAGGGAGGGTGATGCCTTCCAGGAGGGATCATCAAATCTGTCAAGTCATCTTCAGTAGAGTCTAGGCCCTCTCCCCACCTCTAGGCTAAGGGAGTATCCCTCCATGGGGAATGTGCTCCCAAAGTCTTTTTGTGCACCAGGGATACATCCTGGTTCCACTGTCAGAGGTCCCTTAATCTGCCAACTACCCTTCTTACAGAGCTTAGATGCATCTTCCCAGAAGTGACACTATCCACAATGGGTTGGACCTTTCTGCATCAATTATTAGTTAAGAAAATAGCTCACAGTGATGGCCACAGATCAGTAGATCTAGGCAGTTTCTCAATTGAGGTTCCCTCTTCCCAGGTGTGTCGAGTTGCCATCCCATTGGCCAACAAACAAAAGCGCATTTCTGTTGACCAAGTTATACTCAGGCTCCAGATACTTGCCTAGTAAATATCCCCAGAATTGCATGTTTCTCAGAAATGTAATAAGGGATTATGCCTCTGAAATTTGCTTTTCTCCACCAGCCAATCTAAGTAGGTCTGTGCTTTGAAGAACATGAAACTTAAAGCTAATTTTCTTTGTAGGGGTACTATTGTGTCTGTTCAACTCATTCAGGGCTAAAACAATAAATATTTTCTTGTAGAAAGTTGCTCGATCAACTGATCTGAATAAAACTGTCAAGGAGAAAGATGAAAAGGTCAGTTAGTGTTGCAAATCACCGAATAATTAGTTCTGGTTGCAGTTGTGATGACTAGGGTTTAATTTCAGAAAATGTGTATGGGAAAATAATCTTCACAACTCCTGTCAGGTGAATCTGATGAGAAGTCTCAGACCCAAAGTCACCATAAACATGGTCGAAGTTACGGACCAGGTTTGTCTGCTGCCCTGCCTTTTATATCCCAAACTGAGACTTCTCACCGTTGCTCATCATTGAGAAAGCAGTTGTCATACACATAGTACACCATTCAGTGAAGCCAAGACAAGCTTTGTTCCAGGCACTGTGATAATACAGCTTCCTTTGTAATCATGCCACTGATTTCAGTGAGCTGGAAAGTAACTTGACTCCTGTATCTTCTAGGATTCCACAGACATGCAGCTCCAATGACACGAAGGCAGTTCCCACACGGTGCACACAGGATGGACTACCTGCACTTTGAGGATGACAGCCGTGGGTGGTGGTTTGACATGGATATGGTGATCATCTATATTTATTCAGTGAACTGGGTCATTGGATTCATTGTTTTCTGCTTTCTTTGCTATTTTTTCTTTCCGTTTTAGGAATCATCATACTCAGCTATAATTGAACAGTCTTAAATACAAACAACAATGGCTTAAACATTTTGAGAGTGTGCTTTTTAGTTTTTATAATGTTGCATTATAAAAATTGTTAGTGTTTATAGAAATTCTGAGGATAACGGATTTATTAATGTCTTTCATGTAACAACCTAAATTTTATTTGAGAGCTGATGTACCAGTCATTAGGAACAGTGAACTATTAATTCCATAGACTCTACTTTAGGACTTGGGTTCTAATTTTACAGTATCACTTTTATACTTACTATGATTGTAAAAACTGAGGTTTTACCTCCAATTAAAAACAGTAAAAATATTAAATGAATAATCTGGATGGATAGCATCATTATTACTAAGATGTTTAGTCAAGTACTGCATATTCTTAGGCAAATGATGTGTATTAAATATAAACCATATTCTCTGGGAACTAATCAAGCAGGGTATATTGCATTTCGATATCTGAATATCTCTACTCTGTCTCCTTCTAGTACCAAAAAAATCTGACTCTCCTTTTTGTAGACGTCATAGCTTTGGTGCAACATTTTTAACTATGATAAGAACACAATGTTCCATGCAATCAGACTAACACCAGATAGCTATGTTAGAGAGCCATATGAACACTTCCAATTTCAGAATGAATCACTGAGAAACAATGACAAATCTGACCTTTAGTGACCTAAATGACCAGTGCATGTCCAGGCTATAATTAATCTGGTGATTTATTTAACTAGAAGATTGTCAGTGTGCAATAAAGAGTGGCTTTTACATTTTTATTGTTGTTATTTGACTTAATATGCGGAATAAAGAGTTGCTAAAATGGGATTATGGTTTACATAAAGAAAGACTGATGTTTGATCATAACACAATAATCGTTATGTTACATTTTTTCCATATTTCAAGAGGAAAATAAAGTATTACTGTGTGAGCAGGAAATGAGGAAGGTATCCTGATTCAAAAATGAAAAAAAAAAAGGAAAGACAAAAGCTTATGTGTTTACTGGGACAGTTTTGGGTTTTTTTGTTTTGTTTTTTAAGATCTAGGGCCAGTTTCAGTAATGAACTGCTAACCCATCTTTTCTGCCTATCTTGTTGTTGCCTGATTTAAAAAAAAAAAAAAAGTATGACTTATGGCACTAATAATACTACAGCCATTCAAAACCAGACATGCTGGACTAATTTAGACTAGTTAAATTTAGACTAATTTTAACTAGTTAAAATTCAGCATAATTGCTGACTGTATCAAATACAAACATTAGGTTGACATTTTGTGATTTTTTTAATGAAATATCAAAGTGGTACATATTTTCATTCTGTTTATTCCTGTTTCTGTTTTCACAATTATAGCTGTGAAATATTATCAAATATATCTGACTCATCAAATCCAGAAAACAAAATTAAATGAAATTTAAAAAGAGATATATATTTGTGTTTATAAATTAATATTTATATCCATTAACTTGTGTTCTGGATAAAAGTGAAGCATTATTCCCACAATATGGATTAAACCAAACACAAACAGGGACATCATTTTAAGAACCTTGAAATCAATCAGAGCTATGAAATCAATCAGTTTTCCATGTAACTCCTGTCTTATATACTCTAGAAAATATATTTGATTCATTCCTAAATTACTTTATAAGTTTTTTATTATAAGCAAATTAAAAAGCAAGAAACAATAATATAGATACATCTTTCACAGCAAACATCTATCCATTTCAATTTTAGCACATATTAATTATTCAATTGTATCTGTAACCTAAATACAAGCAACTGCATACCCATCCAAAAGCAATTATAAGTCTCTCATTTTATTTAAAAATATTTTATATTTTATACAACTGGAACGAAAAGGTACAAAATACTAAATATATTTTTGTTAGAGCTACCACTTTCTAGGAAGCCAGATAAAACCTGTGATGCCCAGACACTGAGACAGGTAAGGTCCATGAGAGGCCAGAATGTAAACATACTCCTGGGTCTTCAGCTTATATGTTAAAAGCATGGTATGTGGCCATCAATGGTGGCTCACACTTTTACCCCCCCACACATGGGAGGCAGAGGCAGGCAGATCTCTGTGAGTTCAAGGCCAGCCTGGTCTACAGAATGAGTTTCAGCACAGCTAAGGCTACACAGAGAACCCTGTCTCCCAAAACAAAAACCAAACAAAAATAAAAACAAAAAGCAACAAACAAAAATAAAAGCATGGCAAGTGTTCCATTCTATCTCAAAGCAAGCATTTTAGCATCTGCAGGAGACAGAGAACTTGACATCTTTCAAGCAAGATGATGGTCACCTAATCCATCCCAGAAATCATCCAATTCTTGCCTTCCCCTTTGTGCAGAGGGAGAGAAGCCTGTCTCCCCTTCAGTCAGTGTTTGCTCCCTTCTGATCAACACCAACCCCACTTAAAGTCTAGCTTATATTACACACCTTTGGCTGGGAGACTCCATAACGAGTAGAAAAATGATTTTCTTCTGTATTCTAGTACACAATAACCAGGAACTGGTTAATGTTTAAATTCATGAATTAACTTTAAAGTTTTTTTTTTAATGTGTATATGTATGTGTTTGTTGCTCTGTCTGTCTGTATGTATGTCTGTCTCACATGTATGAGTTTGTTTGAGGAAGCCAGAAGAGGGTATTGGATACCATAGAGTTGGAGTTACAGGCAATGTCAGTTGGGAAGACACAGGTTCTAGGAACCGAACTCCAGTACTTGGAAAGATAAGCAAGCACTCTTAACAGCTCAAGCATCTCTCTAGTGCCATGAATTTAGAGAAACACAGAAATTCATTGTGTGCCTCTTCAGCATCTTTTATATAGTCATAAAAAAAAACATTTTCCAATAAAGACTCAGAGGAAAGGAAAGAAAACTCCTAAATCTAATAAAATGCAGTATTTGTCTGCAGTAATATTATTTTGAAAGTTAAATTTTATGACCTATCACTAATTTGCTTCTACAGGGTCCAATAGTGCTGAAGCTTAATTTTAATCATATTTAGATATTCATACTAATGACTGAACCGAGAAACTTTGAGTAATTTAAGTTTTGAGAATATATATATATATATATATATATATATATATATATATATATATCATTTTGTTCAACTCTAATTCTCATTCCTCTCTTCCAATTCTTTCTCCATCCCTTCAAGGTTTTTCCATCTCAAATTCATGTTTCTTTATTTTTGTACATATGTTAGTGTTATTGTAGAGGAAAGGGCCACCCAGAGCAGAGCCAAAGAAACACACTTTGACCCTGCAACCAGAACCAAAGAAATGCACCCTGGTCCTGAAACCAGTGCCAAAGAAATACACTTTGTCCCTGGAATCAGAGCCAGTGAAAGAAATACGCCCTGGCCCTGAAACTAGAGCCAAACGGCTAAACAGGACCAGTGAAAGAACACATTTTGGTCCTGAAAACAGAGCCAAATCTGACCCTGAACCTTGTGCAAAAAACTAACCAATCCCTGAGCAGGAGATCTAATCAATCTGAGCTCAGTGATTGAAATGTGACCAATCCCCACCCTGGAAATCTTCTCCCTGGAAAGTTCCACCCCTAAGAAGCCTTATATAAACCATGTGACTGTTCAGCTTGTGGCTGTCAGGCTGCCTGGCTGTCCTATGCCACCTTAGCAGAGTATAGTCACTCTCCTGCTTTCTTCCCTCTTAAATCTCTTGAATGGGGTTTGGGTGAGACCTTCTTGCCCTGGAATGGAGGGGAGGAGACAAGTAAGGAGTTTTCTTTTGGCAGAGTCAGAACAGAGTAGATCAGAGAGAGCCCAGCAGGGCTGTAATACTTTCTCTGGGGAAACCTTCCCCTAGGGGAGTGGGATTGTTACACTCCAGGGGACCACATAACTCACTGGGGAAGCCCTCCCTGCTGGGGGGGGGGGAGCTGATACACTGGGGAAGCTTTCCCGGGAGCAAGCTGCTATGCTTGCTGTGACCTGTGGCATCCCTTGGCTCCAGAGTGCCAGAATAACTTTCCATCTGAGCTGTGCCAGAATCCCTGTCCATCCAATCCAGGCTGCCTCAAAGCTTTCAGTTATGAAAAAGCACGAGACGGGGGACAAACATGCCAGGCAGACAGAGTTTAGTGAGAAGTTTTATTAGAAAGGGAAGTGGGGGGAAGGAAAGAGAAAAGAGGTAAAGAGACAGAGATAGGAAAAGTCCTGTGTGTCCAAGGGAACAACGGGAAAGAGAGAGGAGAAAGAGAAAGTGGGTGGGAGTCTTTCTTTGAAAGGGGTCCTTTGTCTACGTGCAGACTAGCAGTCATGGAACCCTGGGCTGACCTGAGTACTGCCTGAGTGCATTCTGCCAGGTGACAGGGGCAGACCAGCATAATGCCCGAATCCTTACACTGAGGATACATCTGTTCAGTGCTAGCTCTATGTGCATGAGCATAGGAACATCCTGTAATGTATCGTGTCTAGCGTCTCAGGGCCTGCAATGAAGAAAACTGACTCCTCTCCCAGAAGCCATTACTTGCCAGTAGTTCCTCAGTTAGGAATAGGAATGTGTGAGCCCAGTTTCCATCCCTATTGACATTTCATTTGGATGCCTCTAGAGCAGTTCACTAGCTCTGAGAGTTCACGAGCGCAACTGACCCTTCCTGCAGGGAAATAGCGAATCACAGAACTCATGCATGTAAGGAGTATGTTTTTTCTGCCCGCCGCCAAGTCTTGTCCTGCCGTCGCGCCAGCCCCAAATAACACACAGAGACTCTGTATATGATATAATTCTGTTGGCCAGTTACTAGTTTCTTATCGGCTAGCTCTGTGTTAATTATTAACCCATTTCTATGTATTTCCACGTGGTCTTACCAGCGAGAGGCGGCTGGTGGTTCTAGTCTCTCCAGACTCTCCATCTTGACTCCTCCTTCCTCCTTCCTATTTCCTCCTTGTCTCCTAGTCCCTCCTATCTTCCTTTCCTATTGGCCAACAGTGCTTTATTCATTAACCAGTATGAGAATCATATACAGAATGACATCTCCCATCATGCAAGAGGCTTTAATGAACAGGAAACATTTGCGCAAACGGGCTCCTCCACTGCACCACCTGTCAGCTAGTCTTTCAGCCAATCTCTTTCATGATGACCCCAATCCCGGAGCCGGAGAGGAGGGGTACGATACAGATGCCACACTTAGAACTGGGTACTCTGAAGTCCCTTACTCTCTGAACATTGACCATTTGAGGGCTTCCATATAAGCACTCTCTACTGCAAAAAGGAGTTCCTCAGATGAAGGTTGAGAGATGCCTAGTCATAAAGGAAGTACTTAGGAGGTGGTTTAGAATTCATGTCCATTTCATAGATAAAAATAGTAGGTGCAGTTCAGAAATTTGCTCTGTATCTTATTGTTCAAGTGAAATTGAAGTGTCCTGTGATGACTCATCTTAATTGTCAATTACATGGAATTTAAAACCACCATAGCAGCAGATCTCTTGGTTTGATTATGAGGGATTTTCTATATTAAATTACTGAAGAATGTGGGAAGACCCACGCTAAATGTGGTGACATGATTGCATGGACTGGAGTTCCAAAATAAAATAAAAACGAGAAAGAGGTACAAGCAATCTCTCTCTCTCTCTCTCTCTCTCTCTCTCTCTCTCTCTCTGTCTGTCTGTCTCTCTTTCTCCCTCCCTCTCTCTCTGCCTTCTGACTGTGGCTGTAATACGACCAAAAACCACTGCAAAGCCCGCGCCCATGAATCCTGTGCTATGATGACCTGTACCCTGGAACCATCAGCCCATATAAACCCTTCCTTCCTCCCTTAAGCTGATCTTGTCAGGGTATTTTATCACTGAAATGAGACAACTTAATACATTACTTTTGGAAGCACAGTTTTATACTCTTCCGTTATCAAAGATAACTCAGAAAATAACACGTCCACAAATCTACTTCTGAATATAGTTGTGGTAAAGCAGAGTGGGGTGAAGGGTTCCCACTGAGTCCCCAGTTCCTTCTGTTAGATAAGCATTCACTCGCCTTAGCCAGGTTAGTGTGCACAACCCCTGTGGTCACGGATATAAATACTAGGTGGATGTGCCTTTTACTTCCCACTAAGAGATTGCTACAAGCAGTGTTTTTCCACCAGCCTGGACCCACCAAGGCGCCAGCCCCAATTAACACACCGAGACTCTGTATTTGATACAATGCTGTTGGCCAGTTACTTGTTTCTTATCAGCTAGCTCTGTCTTAAGTATTAACCCATTTCTATTAATCTAAGTATTTCCACATGATCTCATCTTACCGGAGAGGGGCTGGCGTCTGCTCTCCCGGTCTCTACATGCTGACTCCTCCCTACTACTTCCTCTCTCCTCCTTCTCTCCTAGTCCCACCTATCTTGCTTTCCTATTGGCCAACAGTGCTTTATTCATTAACCAGTATGAGAAACATATTTACAGAATGGCATCTCCCATCAAGAGATGGTGCACAAGGTCCTCCAAAAACAGAACTGACTTTTGCCCTGGTTACACTGCATAGCTTGTAACTGAAAAAAATGATGTAAGGTTTAAGGATTGGAACTTTTTCCATACAGACTTAATTTTTACAACTGCCAAAGAAATGGTAAAGAAAGGAAGTGTCACCAGTTAATCAATAACAAACCAACTGTGAATTTGGTCCAGTTTATATTTAACTGATTTTTTTTAACACACTTCATTGATAAATTCTAGACTAATGCCACCACTTATTTCGCTGTGGTAAGGAAGGATGCATTAGTAGAAATGACAATAGCAAATGTATCGCATGAAGCCCATGCTTCCCAGTCATTAACATGAAGGTTCAGGACTCCAACAAGACATCAGGCTCATGTGCTATATCATGAAATTCCAACAAGGTTGAAAGAATTATAATTAAACCAATAATGAGAGGAAATATATGCATGCATATTTCATTTGGATGGAAAAATAAACAATATCAGAAAAGGTTAGTATACAAATAAATACTATGAGAAGGTGAGCATGAATTTTATTTAACAGTAAACACTATACTGTCTATCCTTAAATCACTAATGTTTGTTAATGTTTTGACACAACACAATGAAGAGTCAAAAGTTACGTGACTTGATAAAAATTAAATGAAAAGAACAATTAGAGCAATATCCCTAGAATTAATATAAATTCTAGAATGATACAAATAATTGAGATTCTGTAACTATGCCCAACTCTGCCAAAAGTGGTCAGCTTCATTTGGGCACTAACAAAACATACTGATGATGTTATACTTAGTCAGAATCAGAATTCTCAAATGCATTATCACTAATGCTGGGCAGAGTTCTTCGGCCTTGCTTTCTTGCAGTTCTAAGTTGGTGCAAATGTTCTTTCATATCTGGAGAAATATGACAGATTCTTCCTTCTATTCCAGGAACTGCAATGACTCCTGATTGTTTGTCTGATTCTTCCTCAAAGGCTAGAAATGCAGTAGAACCAGTTAAAATAAGTATGGCCTCTAAAATAAATATTCTTAAATCATAATGAAAGCTTTATCAGAATATATGAAGTGAAGCTTATAATGATGATGCAATTTTATTCAGACTATCTCCATCTTCACAATCAACTATTCAACCATGAATAAACCTCCATTAGACATACTATGAAACATAATCAAAATTGCATCAATTCATTTTGGTTTTAAGATATTGTATACTTAAACAAATAATAAATGTTTAAGAAAATAGATATGATTGATTTGAACGTAATACAATATGTGCACATATAGGAACATCACACAATACAGCTTAATACAATGTTTATATATGTCAATTCCCTCTCAAATTCATGATTCTTTTTAATCGGTGTGTGTGTGTGTGTGTGTGTGTGTGTGTGTGTGTAGACAGACCATTGAGTTCATTTAGTCATGATCATATGTGATACTGTCATTTGTTTCCCCCTTTAAAATTTTGAAAAACATTAGACAAAAAGTATAATCAGTGCATTAAGAAACTCTACTGTCTTGTGTTAAAAAAAAGATAACTCAATTCCTTCCAAAAGGTATAATTATAGCTTTCAGAACTTGGATATATTTAGGAATATAATTATTTATCAAAGAATCAACCAATTATAAACATAATTGTGATTTGATTGGATTTGGCCTTGGATTGTTGTTAAAGTAACATTATAAAGAAGATTAAGATTCTAACCTCATCAATAAATGGGCATCTATATACCAAGGGACAGTGTTTATCAAGTAGGAAAACACAAAATGTTTAATTGGACAGAAATAAGCTAATTTGACAGGTTATAATTTTTCATCTAGATTAGAAGATAGCCGTTGTAGAAGCAGCTGAAGATTATGAAGCAGAAAAACTAAAAAAAGGACATGATTTCCTAGAATGTATCTGTTCTCCATGGCTTTGGATGCCTGTGCATTCCTTGTAACGGTAGTTCCTTGTGTCTGCCTTTTACCTTGGAAAATAAAGGTCAGTCTTTATTTCCTGACACTTCCTCAGACACCTGGATGCCCACCTAAAATCAGAGTCTAAGAAAAATTTACCCAATGAAACAAAACCATACTGTCACCTGTCAGTGACGGTGATTTGTTTGTTGTCATAATCAAACTCATTCGATGGCCTGAAACACATTTCTTCTTTCCTTGCAAAATTTTTATTGATTCAAAGTGATTCATGACAACCGTAGACAGCACCTGCGCGGTTTCAGTATCAAACATTCGAGGGCAACTTTTAAACATACTGTAACCATCCTTCCCCTGAAATACAAAAATGTAATTCAATTTTCTAAGCAAGAAATAATGAATACATCAAGTATATTTTTAATTTATTCCCACATTGACAGTATTTTCTTAAATTGAAGTTAATATATTTTAAATATTGTCCTCCTCCATAGATCTAGGAATGGTAGCTGTGACCCTGTTGTTCCAGCTCTATTGCTGAACAGCCTTGAGAATAGGTCACCTTCAATCTCTAAAGAGGGTTGTAAAGTTAACTGAGAGAGGCTGTTTAGAATAATACTATAGGGATCTGATGATCTCTCATGGAAGGCCTCACCCTCCCTGGGGAGTGGATGGGGGATGGGATGGGGGATTAGTGAGGGGTATGAGAGGGAGAAGGAGCTGGGATTGATATGTAAAATAAATTATATAAAAAACGACAATTGTACTGAACTATCACCTGAGGTATGAATATGAAAGCATGCTTATTTTAATAAAGATATAAATTGATTTAAAAATAGAAGCATGTAGACTCTTATCTGAAATTACTAAAGGGCTCTCAGCATTAGAGCACACAGTTACGGATCCAACAAGGTTCTCTGCCCCTGGGACTCCATATCAAATAGTGGGGAATCCACTGAATTCATATGTAAGGGCCTTACAACCCAGTCATCTGCTTCATTCTAAGTAACAAAATATTATATAAATGATTAAAATATATCTAAAAAAGAAATGGCAAGTGTTTTAGGAATGTTTATCCCTATTTGAATCTCGAAATCCATTATAGCACTTTGGGCTACATGTTTCTGGCAACATTTGCCTACTGTATAAGGAACAACTGGTATGCATGGATTTTAGATGGCCCATATTTTTAAATCTGTTAGCACAAAACAATGAAATCATGCATGTATACCATGAGATAAAATTAGTTCAATTCATGAATCATCAAAAAAAAAAAAAAAAAAAACAATGCAAACATTATTTTCTGAGGTTCTGAAATCACCAAGAGAAACTCAAATATGTGTGGACATGAGCATGTATATTAGCATCAGTGAATTTTCTTAAAAGGTTTCAAAGGGAACTAATCTCACATTTGCTATGTATTCCTTAGTGGCCAGAAGATAGACTTTTTTTTTCCACAGGTACTGTCCTTGAACTTTCACAGTGTCTCTTATAACCCGATGTCCTGGTTCTGCATCTGGATCAAATCCAAATTCTATCCCAGCCACCTGAGGAAATCTGAAATGTAAAAACATATTCTCAGATAATTCTGCAAAATACTATTTATAATTGAGAAAATGTTAGAACTGAAGTGAGTGATAGCTCTATGCTACTTGATAGGCAGGGTGCACGTAAGCTGGGTGCATTGGAACAGAAGCTGTCCTGTGGCCTTTATTCCAAAAGGTCAAACAATAAAAGCAATGTTGAGTTATTGTATCTTTATTTCCTTCTACTCAAAGAGAAACTTAAAGAATTTCTCTTCTCCTACAACTGAACTACTGTGAGACTGCCATCTCCATTTCCATCCTAAGTTCTCAAAGGAATACAATGGTGAAAGAGACTGTGTGTGTGTGTGTGTGTGTGTGTGTGTGTGTGTGTGTGTGTGTGTGTAACTACAGCCCCTTATAAACTTTAGAAACACCTGACTCCTATTAATATTTACTATTACTCCCATATTAAGAAATGACCAGCTGGGCTTGGTAACACAAGCCTGCAACCCTGGCCATTTGAGAGACTAAAGCAAGAGGATCACAAAATCCGCATGGATTACACAGTGAATCTAAGGTCATCCTGGGTAGCGTGGTGAGAATGTTCATCTTTAATAGATGAGGCTAACAAGACTTTTCTAATACAAGTCCTGCCATTGGGAATGCTGTCATCTATTACGTGTCAGGCTAAGATCAAGTGAAGAAATCTAGTTTATAAAATGGTTAAAAGTCAGAAACAAGATTCACCCACGCAGATAATTTAGGAAAAGGCAAGCACGGGCTGTAAGAGCATTATTCTGGGGAAACAAGATGCTGAGATGCTGAGGAAGGCAAAGCCCCTGCCCCAAGGGAAACCTAAGCAACTTTCGCAACCTTTTCCTGTGGCTATCCCCAGGGCTCCCTTCAGCCTTCAGGTAACCCTCCTGCCCTTGTTTACACTGTTTTCTTTCTCTCTCAGGCTGCATCTCTCCGCTCCTTTTAAGTGTTATATTTAAAAGCACCACCTGACCTATTTTGGTATACCATGTTCTAGGCAACCATCACTTCAAATATAATAAAATACAATGAATTGGCACAGTTAATACTCATTATTGACTTTCTAGGATGAGAATTGTAGTTAGATAGAAATCCCCTAGTATTCTTCCTTCTGTGCTGTGATTTGGTGGAAAATTGCTAAACAAAGCATCAAAACAATTAAACAATGAAAGCCATAGTTACAAACCTGCCGTGTCAGTATCTTTACTAAGGTTCTCGATTACTCAAGCACAGTGTTTTAAAGCATTGTAGAGTAAAACATTGTTATGGATCGTTTATTTTCAGTTAAAGAAACTTTAAGTTGAAAAACAAAAACCTTAGGTTTCCATTATATTTCCGCATCACTAAAATAACATTATTGCCACCTACATATATAGCTCACCAAACCACAAGATGCCCTAATTACAGAGAAACAACATAAAGAAAATAAGAAGGAAAAAACAAGAAGCCACATAGTTTCACTGGCAGAAAAGAGAAACTAAATTGATTTTCATAAATCAGATTAGCAGATGAAAAAAGAACAGTTTTTAAGTCTAAAAAAAAAATAATCACATAGTATTGGACCAGAGCAGATGACATTATAATCAGTAATGGTGACAGATGATAACAAGGAACAGGTTTGGCTAAAAAGAAAGAGGCCAACGATAAAAAGAGGAATACAGGTTTGATAAGCGGTCAAAGAATTAGAAACGAAACCATTCCTTTCCATCTTCCACCAATTTAAGAGGAAAACAGAGGCAAGGAAAGAGAAGAGGGAAAAAAGGAAGGGGAGGAGGACAGAAATGAGAAAAAGCAAGTCTGAACCACCACAGGTTCACTATAGATGTTTACACAATCAGTTCGCAAGCCAAGAGAGGGACTTCCTATTATGTATGGGTCAGACACAAGCGCACTGCATCCCATCCCATCAGCTCCGGGAACTGAGTTTACTTCTGGGTGGGATGGATGAAGCAATGAGTGAGGCTTCAGAAAAGTAAACCATTGCATGCGGGTTCGAGAAAAGAGATCAGAATTTGGGCCACAGCTAAGCTGATAGTACATTCACTAATGTAGAAAGGCGCATATAAACAGAAAACTTTGAACGTTGAACGCCTGCTTTTCCTGAGTACCAGAAGGGAAAGGTGACCACAGAAACTCAAAAAGGGCCTCATTCCCTGCACTCAGCCCCAGTGCACTGTGGTGGTGCTGGCGACATACACTTAAGAACCAACCTTGATAGAGAGTTGAATTCCTTTGTCTGCCTGATTGCCAGCTCCCGCTTGACCTTCAACATGGGGTACTTTAATAAGGTCATTGGAGTGCACGGTAACTAAAGCCCTTTAAATCAAGACGACCAGAAAGGTGATCCCCAAGGACACGGAAAGCTTGAAAGAGATTGATTGTTAAAGCTCAAGAGAGCAAACCCATAATGCCACTTATAAACTATGCTCCCCTTTGCCTGTATTAATAATTAAATTAGCATGAGAATCACTCTGAAAACTGGACAGATAGACCTCAGCCAGAGTCAAAGACTGGCTGCCATGTAGCACCAAGGAGGAAAGATGCAAAGGGCTGTGAGTCTACAAAAAGGTCAACATAGAAACCACAGCCCAGGCTGTAGGGCTGGAACCAGCCACCTGAGGCCAAGCAAGCCGCTGTCAACACTTGTCAGGGAGCTAAAGTGAGATCACAGGCTCAACACATAACATCCAAGATGTCCAGAAGGAAATCCAAAAACGTTCAGGAAAAGAAGAAAAAACAGAAATACACCAAAGCTCAAGGGAAAAGAAACCAATGCCGAGATAAAGCAGCAGCCATTACAGAAATAGCAAGAAAGCAATACAATCAATCATTCTAGAATCTAATGGAACATAGAAAGTGCCTGTACTGAAATATAAAAGAGAATCAAGAACTGAGGAGGTGGCTCAGGCCACTCACACGTGAGGACCTGAATTCTATCCCCAGAGCCTCAGAACCTATGTAAAATAAATTCAGGCAGAGAAGCAGGTATCTGTAATCCCAGTACTGAGGAGATAAGACAGATAGACCCCTAAGTTCACTGACTAGCCAATGAGAGACGGTGCCTCAAAAAATGAGATGGAGAATGTCCCAGGAAGACATCCAGCATTGACCTCCGGCCTCTGCAGTTATGCACATGTTCAAACACTCCCCCCACCCCGACCCAACCTTAAGGGGGTATATCTTACATATTTTTAACTTAGAAATAAAAGTTAAATTCATTGGATGTCTTCAATAGTAGAATGTGGATTACGTGTCAAAAAGAAAGGCCATGAACTAGAAACATATATACATTAAAATGTTTTAATCTTTATAAGACAGAGAAAAGATAAAAACAAATAATAATCTGAGCTTCAGGGACCTATGAGAATCCAAGTTCTAACTATGTAAGCTAAATCTCAGGAAAATTGAAGGAAGGATATGCTATTAGATAAAATTTAAAGAAACAGTGAAAGAAAGTCTCACAGATTCAATGAAAGACATAAAAAAATCTAAGCAAAATCAAACATAAACACAGAGAACAAAGTCTGAGAAACACAGAACCAGACATTTAAGAAACACACCACTGAATAGAAAACATTATATAACCAGAGAAAAACAATGCTTTTCAGATAAAGGAAAAAATAATGTGAAAAACTGTCTCAGAAAGCTAAAAGGAAAGGACCAACTGATGAATTGCATATCCGGCCGAAATATCCTCCAGGGATGCAAGCATTCTTGGAATAAAAATTAGCTAATCCTTGGCCAGCAAATATACTTTCAAAAAGTTTTGACAGAATTTATTCAGACCAAGGGAAAGTGTCACCCAAAAATTAAGTTTGGAAAACCGGAAATGAGAAGAAAGCGCTAGAAATAGAAACTGTCTGGATAAACAGGCCATTCTCTTGAATGCTTGAAGTCTAAACTATCATGTGCAATTCATAACACAGGTGGTGTGATGTGGAAAACAACTACCCAGCAAGGGGGTGGGAAGAGCACTACACAGCCATGAGTCTCTGCACTCCACTCCACGTGACAAGTAGCTCTGCGGTTAAGGGCACTGGCACTTCCTTCAGAGAACCTGGGTTCAATCCCTCATAGCTGCCAACGACTGTCTGCAAATGCCCGCTCCAGAGGCTCTAACTCCCTCTTCTGACCCCTGTGGGCACAGCATACCTGTAGCGCACAGACATGCACACAGCCATACATATAAAATCTAAGTATTTTTGGAAAGCCATCTGTGGCAAGTTAAATGTCATATATATATATATATATATATATATATATATATATATATATGATATATATATATATATATAGATTCAAATTCTATACATTAAAATGTTGCACTAAAGATTTGTCAAACAACTCAGAGAGAGGTGGGGGAAAATTAAGGAATGAAAAAACAGAGCAAAGACACCATAAATACTAAAAACGTAAACATGCCAGAATAAAAATATTTTATTAGAGTCAAGAGTTTTAATAAAAAGAGAGAAATTATGAAACTTAATATAACCCACAAATTGTATTCTTTCTTATAAGTCTCTAATTTTAAAAAGTGACATGAATAATTTAAGAATAAGTGAATAGGCAGGGCGGCGGTGGCACACGCCTTTCATCCCAGCACTCGGGAGGCAGAGGCAGGTGGATCTCTGTGAGTTCGAGGCCAGCCTGGTCTACAGAGCGAGTTCCAGGACAGGCTCCAAAGCTGCACAGAGAAACTGTGTCTGGGGGGAGGGGGAAGAATAAGTGAATGGACAAAAATAAACAATGCAAAAACAATTAGGAAGAAAATTGGGCTACGCATATGAAGCCTGCAGCATACTACAGAACAAAGAGATAATCAAACAAAGGATAAAAGGAGAACAATATTTTCTTCTTAAAATAGGGAGATAAGAATTTTAGGCTCATTAAAATTAAGCCATGGAGAATACCTAAATGAATAAGTTTGGTTAAGAGGAAACAAATTTTATTTATAATAATAGACAACTGAATTGAAAAAATGCTATAACTTTTGGATCCTTCACCTTATATAATAAAACTGACTAGTTAACATGACACACACACACACACACACACACATATATATGTATATATACATATATATATATATATATATATATATATATATCAACAAAGCTTCAAATATATCAACCAAAACCTACCCAAACTGAAAGAGAAAATGAAAATCTCAACGAACTAAAGGATTCAACATTCCTTACTAAATATTATAGTTGGTAAAACGTTGCAAGGATTTAAAAGAACAGGAACAAAATCACCAGTAAAAAAGCATACATTGGTGTATACATTGAAATTTAACCAAGGTGGACTATATCTATAGCCTGATCATGAAACAAATATTCCAATATTAAAGAATGGAAGTTCTAAATAATATGATTTCTGAGTAGACACTACAAACCAATGTCAAAGTAGCAAGAAAATCTGGGAAACCAAACTCTCTATGTCTAATTAACCCACAGATAAAGAAGGAAATCTCAAAAAACAAGGGTAAGAATATAATACATCAAAAATTTGTGTGATGTCACTAACACAGAGCTCACAGAGAAATTTGTGACATTGCGTGTTTGTTTATATTAGAAAAGGATGATCTCAAACATCCAACTGAAGCTTTTACCACAACAACAGAAAAGGGGAGAATTATCTGAGGTGACAGAGGAGGGGAATTCTAGGCAGGCACACAGACTGTTGGGGACACAGGCGTGAGACAGCCTGTGCATCAGGAGTTAAATGAAGGGTTTCTTATTAAGTGAGACAGCAGAAGTACAGTTCGCATATGACAGGTGGCTTGAGTTTGAAAAGGCAACGTTGAGCCAATTTGAGAATATGCCTCCAAAGTACTTGAGATCATTTGCTGTGGGCTAAAGGGAACTGTTATGTAATTTTAAGCAGAAGCATTACATTAACTATGTTTTAGAAAAGTAACTGGTGCAGTGATATGTGGAGAATACTGTCCTGTGATGGTCTGTTGGAGATAGACAAAGATATTTCTAACGTATAATCAGCTAATCAAGTTTCAGATGGAAGTTGATTAGTTTGTACAAAGAGATATTGTCAGAAATTTGATTAAAATTAGATGCAAAGGTATTCTCAAATATCTTTAAATTGCATTGAGAAAAAATGCTGATATTTGGAACTAATTAAAGCATTCTCCTAACTATGTATCAGGCTCAGCAGACTAGTATCGCTTATTCTGTATGCCTATCTATTCACATTGATTTCATGTCCTGGGCCTAATACGTGTGTGTGTGTGTGTGTGTGTGTATAATATATATATGCCATTTTTCTACCTCTAACTCCATTTATAAGCAGGCTAAAAATCATTGCTTCTTCACTGAATTTGCGCACACCCATACAAGGCTATACCATACTGTCTGGTTAATTTTTTGTTAACTTAACACAAGCTACAGACATTTGGAAAGAGGGAACCTCAACGGAGAAAAAGACCCCACCAGATTGGTCTGTGGACAAGTATATAGGGCATTTTCTTGATTGCTGGTTGGTGTGGGAGGGCCCAACATACTGTAAACAGTAACGCTCTGGGCTGGTGGCCATGGGCACTATACGAAGGCAGGCTAATCAAGCCATGAGTAAGTAGCAAGCCAGTACACAATATTCCTCCATAGCTTGCCTTTATGTTCCTGCTGAGATTTACTAACGTCTCTCACTGATGGAAGGCTCTAAGAGGAACGAACTCTTTTCTCCCCAAGTTGCTTTCAGTCATGGTGTTTTATCATGGCAATTATATCAATTATAAAAATCATAGGGGAGTTGAAGACAAATTTGGGGGTAAACTAAACTGCCTTGCGTAGAGAAAGGAAGCACTGAAAGAAGGGTATTGTTAGGGTACAGGAAGGTAAGTAAAAAAGTTGTATGTAGCTGTTTTCTAATAATACTAAGAATCCTGTCTTGTTAACATAACTCAACTTGAAGTTTTAGTTTTGCATCAATAAATCAAACTGTAATAGTCCTCGTGTATTATATGTTTTAAAGTAAATGCACTTTGTAGGATATGCACATTTAACATATGTCACTGTAGAGTAAGCACACCATTTTTAAAGAATAGCATGTGGCCTCATCAACTGAATTCAGCATGCTGGATAATGCATCTCTGGAACTATTCCTCATAGCAACTGTAATTTTATAACCTTGAGCAACATGTCTGCACTTCAGTTCTGGTAATCTCCGTTCTACTTTATAAATAAGACTTTGGGGCTCCCTTTGTAAGATCATGTGGCACTTGTCTTCTTGTAGCTGGCCTATTTAACTTAAATATCCCCAGGTTCATTCACAATCTCACAAATATGAAGGTAGAATTTCCTTCATTCATATGGTATGGCAGCATTCTACTTATTCGTTGTTGATTACAGTCTTCACTACTGTAGGTAATGTTAAAGTGAGTGTAGGTATACACTTATTCCATTAACAAACTGAACTCATTGCTTTGGCTATATATTCAGTAATGGCACTGTTGAACTATAGAATAAAGCCTGATTTTTATGTATTAAGGAATCTCAATGCTGTTTTCCAGATTGGCTGTACTAATTTATATTGCTATGCATAGTGCATAAATATTCCCTTTTCTACATCTTTATCAGCACTTATTATTACAGAAGAACTAAGTGAATGGTTGTTGGATCGGAATATATAAAAGAGATAAGATGACAATACTAATCAAATTGACACATATATTTCAGCTCAATTCATATAAAAATCATGTCTTTCTGTAGAAATTACTAACCTGATTCTAAAATTCATTTTTGAACTATAAGGATACCAAATATCCACAGCAATTATTCAAGAAATTGACTAAGTAAATTTTTCTTAAAACTTCCTACCAAGGCAAGGCAATCAACATGGTGTGGTCCTGTGTATGCACACAGCCATGCACAGCTCAACTTGAGTGAACAACTGTGATGAACCTTTACACTTGTGCTAAAATGATTCATGGCAAGAGTACCAAGACAACCCAGTGGAAGCAAAGGTAGTTTCCAATAAATGGTCTCGAACAACAGAGTACTGAAAAAGTTATGTTGGACCACCATCCTATGTCATACACAAAAATTAATTCAAACTAAATCAAGGCATAAAGGTAAAGCAGAAACTATGCAACTCTCGGTGACAGCATATTGGACACTGGCTTCACAAAAATGACAATGAACGCCAAGTAAAAAGAAAAAAGATTTTTCAAAGGTTAAGAAAAACTCACTCTTCAAATGCCATCAGCACAGTGTGATGGTGACATTATGGTGGCAGTATGGGGGAAATCTTTACCAATCATAAATATGATGAGACTTGGCTAGAAGACAAGAATACCTATGTAACCCAGTGTTTCTTTTTTTGTTTGTTTGTTTTCAAGAACAACCTTTTCAAAGGGGTAAAGACATAGACACAGCTCAAAAGGAGCTATACAAATAGCCAATAAGCACATGAAGAGATGCTCAGCATCAACAGCCATTAGAGAGATGCCAACCAGTATCACAAGATGTTGCTTCACAGTACTAGGACAACTAGTCAGCTAGCAGGGCAGGGAAGGCAGCAAGTGTTGGCAGGGGGAAGGAAGACCTGAAGCTTCCAGGTGACATACTGCTAGAGAATGTTAAAGCAGTGCAGTCACTTTGGGAAACAGCCAGTCAGTTTCCACATCACCCAGCACCTGAAACCCCGTATGTACTGTATCTAAGAGTCCAATAAAACGCTTGGCACATATATTTTCACAGCAGCATTGTTTATAATGGTGGAGAAGGTGGAAACAGTCCAAATGTCCAGCAACTGATAGATAGATAGATAGATAGATAGATAGATAGATAGATAGATAGATAGATAGATAGATGTGTTATTATCCATAGATGGTGTGGTGCTTGTCAAAAAAAGAAATAAGTACTGACACATACTACAGCATGGATGAACCTTGAAAACATGCTCAGTGGAGGAAGTTAGTAAAAGGGTCACATTACAGGGTTGACTGCTGTAACTGAAAAAACAGGTAAACCTACAGAGACTAAAAGTAGATTAGATTTGCATACAGCTGAGGGTTTGTGAGGAAATGCAAAGTCACTGGCAATGCACACCGTTTATTTGCAGAATGAAATAAATGCCCTTGACTTTATTCTGACAGTAACTTTATAACTCTGAAAAGTTAGAAAACACTCAATTGTACAGAAATGGATGAACAACATAGTATGTTCATTATATTCCTGTACATATTTTTAACCAAATTTGGTTTAGCATTTTATGAATTTATGTTTCTTTGAATTCTTTCTCCAAGGGGATTTATTTCATATTTTTTCAACTTATAATTCTTGCCACACTAGTATCCTATCACACGTGCAATATGATGATACCTTAGATTATAACATTATCAGTTACCTGATTTAAGGCAAGAACACAAAAGAGAAACACCCACACAACCAAGTCATCTAACTGTGTTACCTTAGCATCATCTACCTAAAAACTCTTGTGAGATCTGAATATAAAAACTAGACAGTAAAGTAGTTCTTTATTTTTCAAATAATATAAAGGAAGAGAAAAACTGGGCTTAGGTACTTGAATACTGAAATTCAATACCTACATATAACTAAACTAATACTAATTTTTAATGACAGCTTATTTCTACATGCCAATATTTTACCACTCTCAACATTATTTAGTAAAAATAAGAATTAGAGATTTTTAAAACTATACATTAATATTTAAAGACTTTAATTTTAAATTTTAAAACATTAAGGTATATCTAAATTTGTCTTTTTTTTTTTTTCAGTCCATTTTAGAATTAAGCACATCATTAGTAGAAACGTATGAACATACCTCCCATCTAGAGCTGGGTACTTGTATACCCCATTTTCAAGTGCTGCAAGTAGCTGTGCGCCCGTTACTCTAATGACCAAAACTGGGTCCACTATGGGGAGTATAGCCAAAAGATCATGCAGAGTGAAATTCCCTGGTGGGTGTATCCTATCAGATCTGAGAGTGCCTACAATGGTTGAAAATGGGGAAAATGTGTTTTAGTTTTCTCTATAACACAGTACTTGGATGACTCAACGTTACATTTAAACTCAGAACCTTACATCCCTAGGACAAAAGGCCTTAATCAGGCTTGCAATGTCTTCCTGACATATACTTCCTGCTTAATTTTATATATAACATATTCATTTCAGATTTAATTTCATGTCAACCCTCATGTTCTTCTTAAGTAATAAGTTGTAACATTACAACTGGAAAGCCATTACTCTCTTCCTACACCCACAGAACCAGACCTAAGAATTTCAGAACAGACCTTCACAGGCAGCAATGACAAAAAAATTCACTCTTGGAAAATATTTTCAGGGACGATTCTAAGCCACTCATATGTCAGGTTAAGAGCATTTGTATCTTCCATGAAAAGAAAAATAAAACAGAATTCTAAGAAGATTATCATTAGGATATTAAGCAGTGTTAAACCATAAACTTTGAGGAGCAGAAGGCAGAAACTGAAACTAGGGAACAAACCCAAGGGCTGGCACACACCAAGACAGAGATGTCCACTGAGTGACAGCTCCACCCTAGTCTAAACTGAGGAAGCCATCAGACCCCGTCTCTGTACCCAGACAATACCTGAAGCCCTTGCTTACAGCGTGTGAACTAAAGTTGTCTTTAGAGGATTGTTTTTCATTTTCTACCCCAACTCAAAATCTTTAAATTCTAAGTCTACCGACCAGACCAAAAAGAAAAAAAAATGGCAAGACTAAGAGTCAGTCCCTGTCTATGAGCAGGAAGCTCTTACCATCCCCTTATTAAAGAGGTAGGAAGGCAAGACTTGTCAGAGCACGAACTTCAGATGACAGACTCCAATCTACTTTTCATTTTGTCATATGAGTGGCAGCATTATCTTCATAGAAATCTCATTGACAAGTCAAAATCTACAGACTTGATGCTTTAAGTTTCAAATAAACTGAATTCCAGAATCCACTTCCAAATCCCTAATCATTGCAGGAAATGGGTAACTGAACTCATGAAATTAATAAAGTTTCAAAGTCGGGTTTCACAACTCTTGAAAATACCTACTATTACTACAAGCTCTGGATACCTGAGTTTACTCATCTCATGTCCCTTTTAAGACTGAAATCACCTGAGTTAAGCAGGGCCACATCAGCTCTGGTGGCCTCTAACATTGCATTCGTCACGAGATTCCCAAGATTACTCTCACATCTTCTCACAGTAATTTCACGGCCATCTAATTCCATATTGATCGGGCAGAGAACTTCTTCTAACATATACTAAAAGAAGAAAAATAACTATCGAAAACCAACATTCCTTGTGTTTTATGGATTTCTTAAATTAATTTTATCCACTTGATCATTTATATTTTAGCTTAAAGTTAAAAGTCAACAGAACTTATTGGAACCCTTCTTTTGTGTATCACATTACTAAAGGGTTACCAAAACACTGAACACTCAACAGTCACTGACTTTTATGTTATCACACAGGTTTGAAGTCTCTATCCCAGCCTTTTAGTGCCAAAACCTGTTATAAAAATATACAATATTCACAACATCAAGCTGATCCAATATTAAACAATTACTTCCAACTGAAGCAGAACAGATACCTCTAATCCTATAGAATTAGTTCAGGTACCAAAAGTTAGATTAAACAATGCATGCATAGATATCAATAGAGCATGGCTTATGCTTCATAAATCTCTCACAAAACTAACACACACACACACACACACACACCTCTAAGCAACTATATTTTGCTTAATACACTTAGGGACCTAGTGAAAGGCAATCCTTAAGTTTTTAAATACATGTAATAGTTTAAGTGATCTGATGACAAATCAGTTAAGCTTTGAAATACATATGTAGAAGAGAAGGAAGACAAACCACATTTTCATTACAAACTGATGTGAAATTCCCCTGCGCTTCTGTATTAAGCTAGTGATCAACATAAATGGCAATCTCTTTATTAAAGGCATAAAGTTTTGCAGAATTTGAACACAGAAAAAAAGCATTTTAATATCTGTTAAAATAAACAAAAACGTTACAGTGGGTCTAAATCCCTTTAATTTGAAAAGTCAAAATAAAATATAAATGGGATGTGTAAATTTAAAAAGATAGAAAACTATCATGAGTATCCACAAACCTATTGTTGGTGTGGCTCATTCACAGTCACAGGCTATCATGTCATCTACACTGCTGTCTAAAATGTGATCACTCCACACTTTGCTGAGCAACACGTGTAATACTCACCCACCTGTATGTTTTGAGTAAAATCCCTTACTATTGCTTTGATATATGAATCTTCTTCCAAATAACTCACAACATCCACTTTCTCAAATACATACTGGAAAGAGGCATCAAACAGCCGTATATTTATTTTTGTCAGATTTTTAAAATCAAATCCACTTTTGACAATCCAAGTCTCATTCACTTTCCTGATGTCATATTCATGATCATGGCCTCCCAGAATCAAATCGAGCCCTTCTGCTTGCTGAGCAAGCCTTGTGTCATTTCCCCACTTCATATGTGTCATTGCAATCACGAGATCCGCTCCTTCTTCTCTGAGTTCAACTGCTAGCTCATTAGCGGCTTCGACGTAATCTTTGTAGTTGACATTAGACTTATTAACTGTAGCAAGAGTATCAAGCCAATCTTCTTCAACTAGTCCCATTAGGCCAATTTTCAGATTGTTCCAATTAACTATCTTTTTTACTGTACCATGTCCAAGAGGTTCCGAAGTAAATCTGTCATGGACATTACTGAGAAACCATGTAAAGTGCATTTGCTTCATATATTCTTCCAAAATATCAACGCCAAAATCAAACTCGTGGTTTCCTAAAATAAAAAATAAAAGTTTAAGTTTAAATCACAAGACTGTTTTTCCAGTCCCAAGCATATTGCAGTTCTCCATGAGGCAGCTTCCAATAGATGCAAGACAGCATGCAAAGGGCAAGCATTTTAACACACGTATGTTTAATTAGCCTGACTTTCATTCACAAATAACTGTGATTTGCAGAAGCCTTCAGCTATAGAATGTCTCTTAGCAATCTACATAGCACCTGAGTCCCAAAGAAAACCTTAAGTTTGGAAAAGATGTTTGCAATATGGGAAAATGCAATGACATGGACTAATGACTGCTCAATAACACACTAATTTACAAATTATTTTAATGCACTGTCTGTGCACACTTACTACATTCCCATTTCAAAAGGGTCCTGCCCACCTGCTCTCTCTCTCTCTCTCTCTCTCTCTCTCTCTCTCTCTCTCTCTCTCTCTCTCTCTCCCTTTTCCTCTCTCCAGCTGCTCCTGTCCCCAGAGACTGGTCTCCACCCTCCCCTTTTATGATCCTTTTCCCTAATAAAAAACCACCTCTGTTCAACACTGCCACAGAGTGACTTCCTCTTTTCTCTGCTTTTCTCTGCTTTTCTTAAATCACAACCTTGTTTCCCTTACCTAGTGTGGTAGTTTGAATGTACTTGGCCCCCATAAGCTCAGAGGGAATGGCACTATCAGGAGGTGTGGCTTTGTTGGAGGAAGTGTGGTACTGTGGGGCAGGCTTTGAGGTTTCCTATGCTCAGGATACTGCCCAGACTTCCTATTGCCTGCAAGATGTAGGACTCTCATCTACTTCTCCAGCACCACGTCTGGCTGCATGACACTACGTTCCCCACCATGATGACAATGGTCTGAACCTCTGAACTGTAAGTTATGGCCTCAATTAATTGTTTTCCTTTATAAGAGTTGCCATGGTCATGGTGTCTCTTCACAAAAAAAAAAAAAAAAAAAAAAAAAAAATAGAAACTCTAAGACACCTAGGATCAGTTCATCTTAAGAATATAATAGCTAAAATGCTGACTGTGGGCCTCATGCACATGGTTCCTATCTTCTTCAGCCTCCACAGATCTTCTGCCATGGTATATCATTATTTTTCCAATTTTGTATCTAAAAAGAACTGAGAGATCAGTCACTTTATTTTGTTAATATTGTTGCAATGTTGATTTTAGTATAGGGCCTTTGGGGGGTGGTAGTGAGATGGGGACTCACTGTATAACCTTAGAGGGGGACTTAGAGTAATCCTCCTGCCTCACATCCTGGATGTTGTAATCACAGAGTAAGCCACTAAGGCCTGCAGTCACTTTATTTTTCATTACTCAATGACATTCATTGTGGAGTACTTCAATTCAGACCCAGGCCCAGCTGACTTCGAAGCCAAGGTCCTAATTCCTCTAGTGACATGACTTACTTTTGCACAGGCATAACTAAAAAAATCTCACTATATGAAGTCAAATTTTAGTTGAGTACAAATTTTCAAGTTCATTGTACAAGTCTGATAATTGCTTCTGAGTACCTACAAGCTGATGAATAGGATTATTTAACTACTATTATTTAGAATCAAATAATCTAGTTTTATGTAAATTGCTTTATAAACGTCAAGTAATAAAGAGTATTACTTACCAAAAACTGCAAAATGCACTCCCAACTCATTCAATATAGGAATCATGTGCTTTCCTTTTGTTATGGTGCTTAAGACTGAAGGATTTAAGCAGTCACCACTGAAAATCAAGAGTGGATTCAGGATGCGAAACTTTTTCACAGCTGTTGCAAACCTGAAGGAACAGTGTCTTGTGTTATCATTGAATTCCTTTATGAGACACAAAGGAAATGTCTTAAATAGCAGTATGACTTTTCCTTCAAATGAGAAAAACTACTATATGAAAAGACAGAAAGATGTTTCAATAAGATCGCTTCCCACAGCCAACATCGCTCACTAGTACATTGCTATTCTGAAAAGGACAAGCTAGGCTTCCCCAGTTAAAGCACATTTTTATTTAAGTGAAAATTGTATCAGGTCACAGAAGATATCCTCAAAATATAATGTGAAATTATTTTAAAGAAAACATTTTGAAATGTGTCAAAATACTGAAACTATCCCAGAAAACACAAATTATTTTTAATGCTGTAGTATTATTATTTGTTGTTGTTGTTGTTTACATCGCCTGAACTGCACTTTCCCTTCCCTCCTCTCCATGCGGTCCCTGCTCCTCCCCCTAACTCTCCCCCAAATCCACCGCTCCTCCATTTCTGTTCAGAAAAGGGCAGGCCTCCCATGGATCTCAACCGAACTAGGCACCTGCCCTCATAGTAAGTCTGGACCAGGCAACCCAGTATGAGGGATCGAGCTCCCAATGTTAGGAGCCCCACAAGAAAAGCAAGCGACCCAAAGGTAACACGCAGGCTCCCGGAGCCCCAGAAGAAAAGCAAGCGACCCAAAGGTAACACGCAGGCTCCCCGGTTGTTGGTTCAATCTCTGTGAGTCTAGGTTAGTCCAGTCTACGAGTTTTCTTGGGGTGTCCCTGACCCCTCTGGCTCCTACAATCCTTCTTTCCCCCTCCTTCCACAGGATTCCCTGAGCTCATCCTAATGTTCTTGTTTGCATCAGCTGCTGGGTGAAGCCTCCCTGGTGACAGTTGGACAAGGCACTAACCTATGAGGACAGCAGAATATCATTAGTTTGACTTTTTTTTTTTTTTTTTTTTTTTTTTTTTTTTTGCCAGTTGCATTTGGTTCTCTCCTAGGTCTCTGTGCTATCCATCCTCTGCCCCAAGACGTGTCAAGGGTGGGCCCACTCTCCTGGCATGGGTCCCAGCCTAGACAAGTCATTGATTGGCTCTATTTCCACAATTCCTGTGCTATCTTTATTTACTCCAGCACATCTTGTAGGCAGAACAAATGACATCATGAAAGCTGCAGACAAATGGATGGAACTTCAAAAACAAAACAAAACAAAACATGCTGGGTGAGGTAATCCAGACCCAGAAAGACAAATACAGTACAGTTATAAGTGCTCACTTATAACTGGATATATTAGCTGTAAAGTAAAGGATAATGATGCTATAACCCTCAGACCCAGAAAGGCTCGGCACCCAGAAGGGCTCGGGGAGGGAGGGAGCTGCTTGGATCTCTCTCCCTGGGAAGGACAATAATTCCTTACATAGAAGTCCCCTGTGAGCATCAGGAAAAGATGTGTGTGTACTGATGGACTGGGTTGTTTCATGTAGATGCTGCCTCTTTGCCACCTTCTAACTGATTTTTTTGATTTTAGTCTTCTGTTCTGTGCCCCCTTGATGTTCAGTTACTGTTGCTGTTTTTCTCTTCTTGGTTTTACCTAATTTACAGATTTTTTCCCCACTTTTGTTGCTTGCTATTTTTCTCTTTTTTCCTCCCTTTTTTACTTAACCATACTTTTCTTTTTCCTATTTTTTGGTCTCAGCTTTATTTTATTTATTTTACTCTAATTAATTTTAACTCCATAGTTTCTTTTATAATATTCTTGCCATTTTATTTTCTATGATTATTGATGGTGTAGAAGTTGGTTTTAATTAGTTCTGCTTCTATACCTATTTTGTTTCAGGGTTTTTGTTATGTCAGCCTGTTTTCTCCTGCGTGGTACTAAAACTCGAACCCTGAAAACGAAGCTACTAGTAAAGGAGACCTCAGAGGAGACAGCCATTCCCAAAGGTGTACAAACTACTACACAAGAAAAACACAAGAAATATGACAAAGCAGCAACATGACTTCCAAATGATCACAGTTTGTGAATTAACCGAATCGAAGCATAGAACGATGGTTAATGTGTCAACAAATTCAAAAGTCTAATTTTAAAAATGATAACTGACCTTAACAAGGACTTAAATAACTGACAAAGTGAACAAGTCTAAAGAGTTGAGAACCTGTTGGATGAGCTACTTAATAACTTGCATAAGAAATTCAACAGACACAGGACAAAAACAGAAATAAGGAATCGGGACAAGGTCAATGGTTTCTTACATTCAGGAGAAATTAAGAGATCAGACATACAACTATGTAATGTTAGAAATGGTCATAAAATAGGGAGTAAATACTAAAAACTTACTCGATGAAATCAGAGCAGAACATTTTCCGGCTCTAGGTAATCAAATGGACATTCAAGTACACCAGGAAAACAGGCAGGCTCAGAACAGAGGTTTTCCATGTGCTATGATACCTAAGTGCCAAGAGTACAGAACAAAGAAATGATATTAAAAGCTTGAAACAGAAGTGCCAAGTTTCTTAAAATTATGCAAACCAATGAGACTAACATCAGATCAATGAGAAGAAACACTAAGACCAAGAAAACATGGGATGTAGTATTTCAAATCATGGAATAAAATACACACCTACAAAGGCTACTCTGTCAAAATTATCCTTTAATACTAAAGGAGAAATAAAGAACTTGTACAATAGACATAAAGTAATCCATGACCCCTAAGCCTGGACTCCACAGCATTCCCAAAGAGATCATAGACAGAGAAGAGGAGGAAAGACATACACAACTGTGAGACAGAATACATCACCTACGAAGGAAGATTAAATAATAAGTGGAAAAATAAGATCAAGTTATTATTTGATAATAAAATTATCAAATCTCTGAGATCAAATGAAAAGTTACTACTTACCAACATTAAATATGGTCAGTCTTAACTGTAACAGTCAGACTGTACAAATAAATTTCAAATAAGATACAACCATTTCTTGTCTACAATAAATGCTAGAAAACAACATTCTGATAAATGGACTCTAAAAGCAAGTAAAAGTAGCAGCACCATGATCTGACAAAGTGGACTATGGGCCAGAGTTCATCAGAAGGACTAAATATGGCCACCACTCATCAATATGTAGAATTATCAATACATCAAAAAGATAAAACAATTATAAACATGTTATGGACTGAACGTTGATGTGTTCAATTTTATAAAACAAACACTACTGGATATAAATGGACAGATCCAAATATAGCAGATCATCCAGACACAAATAAAATAAAGAGGGTGTGGGGATAATTCAGTGGGTGAAGGGCTTGCTGCAAGGGCCGAAGGACCGGAAACTAAGCATAGTGTACATCTGTAACCCCAGAACTGGAGTGATTCTGGGAATTTGTCAGGCAGCCAGTCTGAGTAGAAAGGACGGCTGTTCAGTAAGAGACCCTGTCTCAAAAAATGAGGTGGCGAGTGATCAAAAGTGACACCAACTCTACCTCTGGCATGCACAAATGTATTCACTCACACACACGTGAATACATAAATATTAAAAGTGTTATATTAAATGTATTAAATGTTTTAATGTATTAAAAGTGAAATTATTAAAAGTGAAATAAATCTTCAGACATGAAAACCTCATCACAAATCAGATGGACATAAGAGATATCTACAGATTCCTCCAACTGTTATAGATTCTTATCAACAACCCATGGAACTTTCTCTAAAATAGGTAACATTGTATGCCATAAAGCAAGTCTTAACAAATATAAAATATAATTAATTCCTTCTATCATATCAAAATCAAATTAGAAATCAGTAGCAAGTCAAAACACTATACATTAAATGATGCAATTGAAATGGCGAAGAGGTCACTGAAGATATCAAGAAAACACGGATTGGCGAGACAGAGTTGGTTCTTTAAAGGTAAAAAGGTCAAGGCTCTAGGGTATGAAGGATCCAAATTAATAAGAGATGAAGGAGGGGATTTCAACAGGTACCACTGAAATACAGAAATCGTAACGACTATGGTGAAAGCATCCTCAAACAAACTGAAAACCCTAGAAGCAATGGGTAAATGTTTTAAACATAGATGACCACTGAAACCCTGCCAAGCAGGTAGAAGCAGCAAGGCAGATCTGTAGCGAACAGTGAGACTGGAGGCAGTAGGGCTAGACAGACAGACTGCTGTATTCTATCAGATAGTTATAGAACGTCAAGATGTCCTGAAATTCTTCTACCAAATACAGAGTGAATGCTTGCAAGCTTCACTCCACAAAGTCAGCATCATCTATCAAAACCTGGTAAGCCCACAAAAAAACAGAAAGGCATAGACCGAAATATTCCTGATAACTACGGATGAGAAAGAATCCAAGGTACTTGCAAGTTCAGTTCAACAGCACATTAAAGAGATTACATATACCATGATCAAACTGGTTTATACCAGGGATGCACGCGGAAAGAATGCGAGACAGAGAGTGGTGAGAACTGCTGTCACAAAGAGACTGTTAAGAGCAGGGCCTTTGGGCAATGACTAGGCCAGGAGGGAGCCCTTCTGTGAAAGGCTGTATGGACATGACAGGCCGTTATACATGCCAACTCACTCCTGATTTTAGAGGAAGCGCTTTCTGGTTCTATGCTAGTATCATATTATTCATATTACTATGGCTTCATAATTAATCTTGAAATGGAATGGTGATCCATCCACCACTCTTCTTTTTGCCCAGGATCATTTTGGATCTCCGGGGTCTTTCACGATTCCATTTGAATTTTAGGACAGTTTGTTTCTATTTCTATGAAGATTGACATGGGGATTTTAACTGGGGATTGTACTGAATCTATAAGTGGCTTTTATAGCATGGTCATTTTCACAATATTAATTCTACCAATCCATGAGCATGAGTTGCCTTTCCATTTTCTATCATATTTATTTTTTCTTCAGGGGTTTAAGGTTTTCATTATAGAGACATTTTCACCCCATTTGGATATGTGTATTACAAATTATTCTCCGAGGCTATTCTGAATTGGAAAGTGTGCATGGTCTCCCTCTCTGC